TTTAGGCAATGACTTGCTATGAGGAGAGAGGCGTCTTGTGTTTTTCACTTGCATTTTCTCGGTGATCTAAATCAAATGATTAAATGTACACACACAGCGGAGTTTAGTATTAGAAATTCCCCAGATTATTGGAAAAGTGGGATGCATATTATACACAAATCAATATCAGATTCCTAAGATAAGCTCTCTTGACTCTCCTCTTCTCGGAAACGTTACATAGTTCAGCCTGAAAATAGTTTACATTTAGTCTTTTTACAGTTGATTTTAGTTTGTCAGTACACCCACACAGTGATCATTTGGTTGAATAATTATGCTTCTACTTTTTAGAATTACATTAACTACAATTTACGACCAAATAATCTTCAAAGCTTGTTCAAAATGAGAGCGAGAACTTATAATTTTAGAGGGTGTGAAAATTTAAAATTGCCCAATGTTTGAACTACCCCTAAAAGTTTCTGTGTGTCTATATGTGGTGGAAAACTCTGGATATTTTGGCATTGCTCGCGATGTGTATCCAGACTGTTCCATGAATTCAAGCTGTTATATAAACATATGGTCTGGTCACAGTATATAGAGAGTGGGTCATAATATTAGAACAATACTGTGTCCGTAGTGCTGCTTTATGTTTGTTGTTTCCTTACCATTGCTGGTATGTCTGTCCATTACATTACAGTGATCACTCGCTTATTGCTGGGGTTTCGTTCTAAAAATAACCCACGATAGGTGAAATCTGCAAAGTAGTCAACTCTATATTTTACAATTATTATATCTGTTTTAAGTCTGTAAAACCCCTCACCACACACTTTACACACTTTTCTCAGACAGGACAGTTACAACTCTTTTTGCATCCTTCTTAAAACTTATTGCTCGGAGGTGACCGCAGGAGAAAGGACCGAAGGAGAGCGACACACCTCACGGAGGTAAACGTGACAATGCCCGACTGCGATTTGCGGACACCCCGCTCGGGATTCTCTCTCTTAAATCCAAGATTAGTTCTGGTTTAGACCTGGTTTAGTCCTGACCCACTTGTAATTACTACCTGCCTGTAATATGCAGTATGCATTCATACACTGTAAAAAAGAGCATCCAAAATTGCACTAAAAAAATCCACAAAACAGCGAGACTGCGAAAGATGAACTGCAATATAGAGAGGGACGATGTACTTGTATGTGTTGTCTTTTACCATTGTCTGTATCCTTAACCTCACCAATGTCAGTATGCGTTATAACAGTTACTCATTATCCACACTTGTAAATAGTTCATATAGTTTAATGCAAAATGACTGAAAAATGCAAAAGAAAGATCATTGTGTAAGATTAGAAGAGTGTAGGTGGGATTAAATAAGTTTTCTTCTTCCAAACATTTTTTGTTGTGGTTATTTTCATTTCTATTATGGTTTCACTAATGTTCCATTGTATAAGAATATAAGTACATAAATAAAATACAACAACTAAATGACATCTGCAGAGACACAACAGCAGCTCAGACCAACTGACTTAAAAGGTTCTAAACTACACAAAATTGACTCTTGTGAACTTTAAGTAATGCTGTTACCTCTTCAAAAACATACCTGGAGTTGTTTTTTGCTTCATTCACACACGTTTAAGTACCGTGTCTGCATCTCCAAAGCTCAAAATGCTCTGCTCCACTTTGTGATGTGGTAGTTTTCAAGTTAACATCTACCTTTAGTTCAGTGGAAATCAGAAATTCCAGCGTTGAAATGAACCAAATGATTCTAGTCAGTATTTTCTATTTGAGGCAAGAACTCCTGACGCCTAAATATGCAATAAATGTGTGTGTCTAACATGTGTGAATGAAATAAAACACAACTCCAGGTATGTTTGTCACGAGGAAACAACATTATAACAAAAACAAAACCCATATCATCCACACACACTTGTCAGGACTCAGACATAGCAGTGCGATTCACCTGTATGTTTCATTAGAGTGTTTGGCTGGAGGCTTAGGCGTGAATCGAATCAGATTAGCCTGAATAGTGAAGAGGACATTTGTATCCACAGCATGAAGCGGCACTGAGCCCCTCCTCTGAATATACAAACAACTACTCTCTCTCCACTCAATAAGGACAAGATCCCCCCAGACACTCAACGCTTATACTGTTAATAAAGTCAATTCTCAGCGCACAGGAGAGGAGACTTCATTTGTCAAAATGTATTTTCACTTGCAAAAGGATATCTGTATTAAATAATAAGATTTGGGCCCAACAGGGACTTTAGTTGCCATCTGAATTGTGTTGTCAATATTGGAGCGCATGCTTAGGAGATGTGGGTGACCTTTAGATTGATAGGAAATCAGTCTGGAGGGACAATTCTAATTCAGTCCCTGTATAGCTTATTTTAAAAAGATTAAAGGAAGGAGCCAATGCTACACTTGTCGTAAAGATTTCACCAAACTCTGTCTGTATGGCCATCAAATTCTTTTTCATTTATGTGAGTTTATTTAGCATGCGTCACTTTATTTTCTTTCTTCCAAACATATCTGAGTCATTGCAAATTGATCCAGTTGCTTTTATAAGTTCTATTTTATTATTACGGAAAATAAGAGTTGTCTAGACGTGTCCTGGACATGTGAAGAGAGATAGAGACTCTGGATGTCTGAGGCAGGAGATGTTTATTTACAGTGATTGGGGAGTAACAGATTACATGTACCAGAGTTACGTAATCAGAGTACAAATTCTGAGTAACTGTATTCAGTTACAGTTACTGTTTCCATGAGTAGTAATTGGATTACAGTTACTTTGTTGAAATAAATGAATTACACAGCGGTATTTTCCTGTTTTCACATTTTGGGCTATATCCCCCCCCCTTTTTTTTTTTTTTTTCTCGGTAATTCCACTCATTGCCGGACACTAAACCAGGTCTAAACCAGGTCTGAACGAGGACTACACCAGGACTAAACCAGGACTAAAACCAGGACTAAAACCAGGTCTAAACCAGGTCTAAACCAGGACTAAACCAGACTAAACCAGGACTAAACCAGGACTAAACCAGGACTAAACCAGGAAAAACCAGGTCAAACCAGGTCTAAAACCAGGTCTAAACTAACAGGACTAACCAGGACTAAAACCAGGACTAAAACCAGGTCTAAACCAGGTCTAAACCAGGTCTAAACCAGGACTAAACCAGGACTAAACCAGGACTAAACCAGGACTAAACCAGGACAAAACCAGGACTAAAACCAGGTCTAAACCAGGTCCAAACCAGGACTAAAACCAGGTCTAAACCAGGTCTAAACCAGGTCTGAACGAGGACTACACCAGGACTAAAACCAGGTCTAAACCAGGTCTAAACCAGGACTAAACCAGGACTAAACCAGGACTAAACCAGGACAAAACCACATCTAAACCAGGTCTAAAACAAGATTTAACAGGACTAAATGATGCTGCACGGATCTGTCTCCTCCTCTTCTATCAATAATATTTTTAGACGGTTAAGTAAAGTCTGGGTTTTTTAATTTTCTTAAAACTTCTTATGTGAAGATTTCCGAGTCTTTGTTTCTCTACAGCAAATCAAGTAATCCAAAGTATTCAGATTACGTTACTCACTTTAAGTAATTGAATGGATTACGTTACAAACTACATTTTGGGGTATGTAATCTGTAATCTGTAGGGGAATACATTTTAAAAGTAACCTTCCCAACACTGTCTATTTACCATATTTCTATACTATACTATTATTATTCAAGCCTGACAATGCTTCCATACAAGCAAGGTTAAACAAGAGCTAAGAAGCACAGAGTGGAGACCAGAAGCTAGTTGAGATAAAATGAGGAGAACACAGCATACTGTACTGAGAAAAGTGATAACGTTAAAGAAAGACATATTCTGTAATAGTTGGATGATGCCACAGCTAAACACGAAGAAATGCCAACAATGATAGGACCAGAGGTGTCCTTACTAAGACTATGCAGAGAGGATGAAAATTTCACAAAAAGTTTTGAGTGATTATGATATAGTACAGTTGTTATGACCGCAGACCTTCAGTTCTAGCTTGTTTTGTATGTTTTAATTTATTTTGTAGGCTGTTCTGAATCCTGGTGTGGGAGCCCTGACCCGTGATGGGTGGGGCACATCTACACCTGCCTCACCTCCAGCCTCCTCCCCCTATTTAAGGAGATTGGCAGCACATGTTCGGGGCTGCTGGCCTCGGTGACCAGTCTGTCATTTTGTGTTGGTAAGTGTTTCTTTCGTGTCTTGTGACTTTGTTTTGTTGAGACACTAGTTTGGTTCTGTTTAGTGCCTTTTTAAATGTGTCACTCAATTCTGTTTGTGGGTCTATGTGGTTTTACTTTAGGGCACTTGTGTTTTAGTTTGGTGTGTCCCTTAGTTTAATCACTCGTTTTTGTGTGGCTCATTTTTTTTGGGGGGGCACAAAACTAATATGTTAATCCTGTTGTTTTGTTTGTTTTCTGTATATTTTAGTTTGTTTTGTTAATTTATCTTTTACATTCATGTTAATTAAACATTATTTAATTTATTCCATTATCCATCGGGGTTCTTTTGTTACTTCCCCTGTCCCTAGCAGAGCCGGGTCGTAACAACGGCACTGTATGGAACATGTACAGTACAGCAGAGGTCCCCAGACTGGTGCTCTTTGTACACTGGACAGAGGAGGGCAGTCTGGCTCCCACTCCCACCCCCATGTCTCAGGCCAAACTCACACAGAGTCATGTATCATTTGTTTCTGTGATGCGGTTCATTGGTCAACAGTGTTTTTTTGAGTGTGTTTTTTTCACCACAACAGTCCCGCTGAGATGTGGAATCCCATTTTTAGGAAGAGACACGATGTTTTTAATGGAGTAAACCAGACAGACTCAGTAAGGACGAATTATGAATTATGAACACCTATCTCTCCTGTCCTGTCCTCCCCCTGTCCTCCTCGTGTCCTCCCTCTCTCCTTCTCCTCCGCCACTCCCCTTCGCCTTCTCTTCTCCGCCTTTCCTCTCCCATTCCTCCGCCTCTCTTCCTCCTCTCCTCTTACCTCCAGTGTGGTGAGTACAATCTTCTCCACAGATGAGAAGTAGGCCTCCCACAGGAACTGAGTCTGTTGCCTCAGAGACAGAATCTTGTCCTGGTGGATGGAGCGCACTGTGGTGGGGATCTGAACACAAAACGGGTTAGAAGGTTAGAATTCCACAGGGAGTTAGGGTACATTCAGACTTGTACCAGAAATAATCCTTGACTTGTCCAGGACTGATCCAGGAGTACATTAGGACGAATATGAGCTCAGATTATTGTAAAAGTTAAATTTTAAGAGGAGTGTCTTTGAAAAGCGCTACATTCTAAACAGTGTTGGGGAGTAACAGATTACATGTACTGGAATTACGTAATCAGAGTACAAATTATGAGTAACTGTATTCGGTTACAGTTACTGTTTCAATGAGTGGTAATTGGATTACAGTTACTTGGTTGAAATAAATTGATTACACTTCGGTATTTTCCTGTTTTCACATTTTGGGCTAAACCAGGTCTAAACCTGGTCTAAACTAGGTCTAAAACCAGGTCTAAACCAGGTCTATACCAGGACTAAACCAGGTCTAAAACCGGACTAAAGTAGGACTAAAACCAGGTCTAAACCAGGTCTAAACCAGGACTAACCAGGTCTAAACCAGGACTAAACCAGGTCTAAACCAGGACTAAACCAGGACTAAACCAGGTCTAAACCAGGACTAAACCAGGTCTAAACCAGGACTAAACCAGGACTAAACCAGGACTCTCAACCAGGTCTAAAACCAGGTCTAAACCAGGTCTAAACCAGGTCTAAACCAGGACTAAACCAGGACTAAACCAGGACTAAACCAGGACTCTCAACCAGGTCTAAAACCAGGTCTAAACTAGGTCTAAACTAGGTCTAAACCAGGACTAAACCAGGACTAAAACCAGATCTAAACCAGGTCTAAACCAGGACTTAACCAGGACTAAACCAGGACTAAACCAGGTCTAAACCAGGTCTAAAACAGGATTTAACAGGACTAAATCATGCTGCGTGGACCATGTCTCCTCCTCTTCTATCAATAATATTTTTAATACAGTTAAGTAAAGTCGTGAAGATATCCTCATCTTTGCTACTCTACAGCAAATCAAGTAATCCAAAATATTCAGATTACGTTACTCACTTTAAGTAATTGAATGGATTACACTAGAAACTACATTTTGGGGTATGTAATCTATAATCTGTAGGGGAATACATTTTAAAAGTAACCTTCCCAACACTGATTATAAACTTAAATCTGTTATACTACTAGTTAAAATATTATTGCTTCTAAAAATTCCAAGTGTTTTCTGCAGTCCTTTCTTCACCTAGCATGTCTTTAATTGCACAAATTAGAACTCAACATATGGCGTATTTTTCAGGAAGTTTGCGACCGTTTTTGCATGTCAGAAATGTTTTAATTACTATTGTATGCTTGTATCGCCTGAAATACAAAGATTTCTATGCTCCGCTCCAATTTGGACAGCTGCCAAGAAGTAACACAAACACTCTACAGCTGTTTGGGCAGGTGCATTTAAAATAGATTTGTGCTTTTGTTTTTGACACTTTCACTTCAAAAACCCTCAGGCGTACATAGTCAGATTTAAATTAACAATGTAATTACAGTGTCTGGCACGCACATTACCAAACACTTCCTCGAGTATAAAAGGAACTAGTATCACATCAATTAAAATACACATCCTTAAGCAAGAACAAAATACAGTGATCAATAGAAACAGAAAACCTAAATATAAGCAAATACAGAACTCATTTTGGTGCGATTTTAGAGAGACATGAGATCAGCATTCAGACTCTCTCCAGGTTTAAAGTGCGTGTAATGACTTTTGGGTGGCTCTGAACAAAAGCCTTTTCAGTGTGTGTATCTGTGAGCATGTTAGAGAAAGAGCATGGAGGAATATAGTGATAACAAGGACTAGACATCCTGCAGTTGTTCTGCTGATGTACTGTCTCACTTATTACAGTTTCAAGCAGTGAAACTCATTGTTAGATAAACATGGATGTGACATGTTTTCAGTGTTGGGAAGGTTACTTTTAAAATGTATTCCCCTACAGATTACAGATTACATGTAAAAATGAAAATGTAGTTTGTAACGTAATCCATTCAATTACTTAAAGTGAGTAACGTAATCTGAATACTTTGGATTACTTGATTTGCTGTAGAGAAGCAAAGACCAGGATCGTAACATAAGATGTTTTGTCTGCTAATAGAAAATAAAAAGCCCAGACTTTACTTAAACGTATTAAAAATATTATTGATAGAAGACGAGGAGACCCGCCCATACAGCATGATTTAGTCCTGTTAAATCTTGTTTTAGACCTGGTTTAGACCTGAGTTAGACTAGAGACCTGGTTTAGTCTGTTAGTCTTTTTTAGACCTGGTTTAGTCTGGTTTAGACTGGTTTAGACCTGGTTTTAGACCTGGTTTAGACCTGGTTTTAGAGTTTAGTTTAGATAGAAGACCTGGTTTAGTCCTGTTAGTTTAGACCTGGTTTTGACCTGGTTTTGAGTTTAGACCTGGTTTAGTCCTGTTTAAGGCCTGTTTTAGTCTTGGTTAGACCTGGTTTAGTCTTGGTTTAGACCTGGTTTTAGACCTGGTTTAGACCTGGTTTTAGTCCTGGTTTAGTCGTGGTTTAGTCCTGGTTTGGTTTAGACCTGGTTTAGACCTGGTTTAGACCTGGTTTAGTCCTGGTTTAGACCTAGTTTAGACCTGGTTTTAGACCTGGTTTAGACCTGGTTTAGACCTGGTTTAGACCTGGTTTAGACCTGGTTTTAGACCTGGTTTTAGACCTGGTTTTAGACCTGGTTTTACACCTGGTTTTAGTCCTGGTTTAGACCTGATTTAGACGTGGTTTAGTCTTGGTTTAGACCTGGTTTTAGACCTCCTTTAGACCTGGTTTAGACCTGGTTTTAGACCTGGTTTTAGTCCTGGTTTAGACCTGATTTAGACGTGGTTTAGTCTTGGTTTAGACCTGGTTTTAGACCTCCTTTAGACCTGGTTTTAGACCTGGTTTTAGTCCTGGTTTAGACCTGATTTAGACGTGGTTTAGTCTTGGTTTAGACCTGGTTTTAGACCTGGTTTTAGACCTCCTTTAGACCTGGTTTTAGACCTGGTTTTAGACCTGGTTTAGACCTGATTTTAGAGCTGGGTTTAGAAGCTGATTTAGATCTAGTTTAGTCTTGATTTAGACCTGGTTTAGATCTAGTTTAGACCTGGTTTAGTTTCAGGCAATGAGTAGAATTACCGGAAAAAAAAGGGGGATATAGCCCAAAACACGAAAAAAGGAAAACAGGAAAATACCGCCGTGTAATCCATTTATTTCAACAAAGTAACTGTAATCCAATTACCACTCATTAAAACAGTAACTGTAACCGAATACAGTTACTCATAATTTGTACTCTGATTACATAACTCCGGTACATGTAATCTTTTACTCCCCAACACTGCATGTTTTTTTTTAACTATAATTTGATCTGCTCTTCTTTTACTGCTGCCCCACTGTGATGATTTTACAAACACAGAGCTTTACATCTTAATGAGTAAAATAAAAACATAAAAATATTGTCATTTAGGGGTGTGCAAAAATATCAAAATATCAATATCTTGTATTATTTAATGTGGTGATACAGTATTGATATTGTGGGCTGCTGTATCAATATATCGGCAAAAGTATTTATTTTGTTACATCACTACAGCTGCTTGCTTGTTTAGAGGAAGGAAACTCATTTATGTGTTTTGATGATTAAAATGTTTGTGTTTCATATGACCTTTGCAAAAGAAGTGGTTTAACAAAGACTTTTAGTATCACAGCCATGATTTAGCCTTTATTTTTTTTAGAATTGTATTGAATTGATTTGAAATATATCGTATTGAATCGAAAGCTCACTGTATCGAGATATAATAACCCAAAACATGCTACATAGGTCTCCAGGATGAACAGTTGATAGCTAAAGTCAATTAAATGCAATAAATCAATCAATGAACCTACCCATGGACTACAGGTGGAAATCAGCCCTTGTGCTACAACCTGGTACAATGCAACTCTCAAATATCGTGGCCTGTGTATCGAGGTATGCAACTTCTTAATGATACCCAGCCCTATTGTCATCATCACATTAATTATGATCATTTCAGGTCATTTTCTCGCTGTCTCTAGTTAGATTGATGTAAAAGAGCATTCACTCAGAGCAGTGTTTGGGTCCGTGTGAACATGACCGTCTCATTCTGATTCGCATTAAAAGCTCTGAGAGCGCACTTCAAACAGGAGGTCTCAGGGCGGCTCTACTCACACTCTGGAACGGGGTGAGCGCAATGAGTCCTCAGTGTAGTAAAACTGTTCGGGAAATCTAGAGCGCACTGGGGTGGCTCCACAGAGAGAACTAACATGTGTGAAAACGCCCTTAAAGACCCCCTTGCTTCACCGTATACGTATGCACAGTATATATTTTGTGTTTACCTGCAGTAGGAGCCTCTCGTCCCCGATGACCGCTGCAGTTTTCCAGTCAATGATCTCGGAGAAAGGAAGCTCCCAGCCGTTACTCAGCATCACCGGGACACACGCCGCCTGGACAGCACACACACACACACACACGGACATGTCAGTATTGATACTTAAAAGAGCTGTACCTGATTTTTTTTTAACCCTGAAAAACAGAACTAGTTCATTTTAAACAATTTGGAGAGTCCAAAGTTATTCCTCACTTACTTTATGCATTCAGAGCATTATAATTATTCACTATTTATAAGCATGCTACGCAACTCTCAGAGACCAGAGTGGAGTTCTGTCATCACAGCAATGCCAACAATAACTAGGATGCCAACAGTGCACTTCCTGATTCTAGCATTTAAAAAAGCAGTCTAAGAGCTGCTTAAAATATCTGTATTGACGCAAAATAGACAACTACTTAATCATTCAATATTGGGTTTAGTGTGGGCAAATCTCTACCTGATAAGCCAGTGCTGCTCCAAAAAATATTATTTAAGAATCAAATAAGTGATATAACAATGCAGTGAAGGCAGTGGTCTAGTAGATTACATTGTACAAGTTTGTGAGTGAGCCAAAGTGACTGAAGTGCTGAGAGACATCTGCATTAGCCCTGCGTTAGTGTTAAGAGCTCTTGTCTGTGGAGGATAAGGAGGGAAAGACAGAGGACATCTACAAGAGGAGGATGTATGGAGAGAGGGAGAGAGGAATGGAGGAGAGTGAGTGAAAGAGGAAGAGGGAGAGAAGTGATGGAGAGAGACGAGTGGTGCGAAGAGGCAAAGAGGCACTGCAGATGAGTAGACTGTATTAGACCGAGTAGAAGGCGAACATCAGACGTCATTATATGAAAAAAAAACAAATCTTAAAAGTCCTACATTACACAAAATGGACTCTTGTAAGAATGGTACCTCATCGAAAACAGATCTGAAGTTGTGTTATGTTTCATTCACACGTTTGAGTAACCCTGCATTATTAGTCTGTCTACATTTCCAAAGCTCAAAATGATCTGTTATACCTTGTGATGTCATGCGGTGGTAGTTTTCAAGTTAACAGCTATCTTTAGTTCAGACTCCGTTTACACTGAAACAAATCCGCGTATCACCGTATCTGAAACTATCTGCGTCCACACACATCGTTTCTGTGTCCACAATAATTCCTTATTTGTTTACGTTTTAGAGAAACAAAACTTAAAACCGCATGACTAATTTGCATAAACTGAGCGATCAAAAAACAGCTCGCTCCTTGTGCGCTTCTGTCGGACTACAGGACGCAACTCAATGGAATATGAGTGTTCTTTCTGTGACAGAGGGGTGTTCTGCTGATGGTGAGTCTATTCTGTGCTTCTGTCATGTTGGAGACGGGTCATGTTAAACTTTTCAGAGATTATACGTCTGCAGGTCATAGCATAGACCGTATTTATGAATGGACATGTATTCTAGCCTCTTAGCATTTTGGCGGTGAATTACTTCACAGTGTATAGACCTACATCAGTGTATCAGCGTTTTCAGGTGTCCACACAGTGCCGGATCAGATCCATACTCAGATGAATTCGTGGGAGCTGGCAGCACCAGATCGTTCCATCTCTGGAGCCATTTTCAATCGGGTTAGTGTGGACGAACACTGCATGCACAATGAAAACGATTCGAATACGTACTAGTGTGGACAGGGCCTCAGTGGAGATTGGCACTTCCAAAATCATGAAATCATCCAAATGATTCTAGTGAAGGTGTATGGAGTTCCAAAACACAGTGGAGCACTTCCTGTATTACCACATGACATCACAAGGTGGAACAGAGTGTTTTCTGTTTGACAATTATGCAGGATTTGTGAATGAAACAAAACCCAATTCCAGGTCTGTTTTTGATGAGGAAACGACATTATAACATAGATCAGAAAATAGCATCATAATTGCCCTTTATAATATTGTTTACCTTTATTTTTTCTATTATAATTTGTTAATTTGTTGTTTAATTCCAAACTATTTAGATTCCAGTTCTTTTGTTCTTGTTGAGGCGAAGCTGTGGCTGCATTACAAAAACACAGACACATGTTTTACACTACACAGTTCATTTAAATCTCATATTGTATCCAAGTCTGCTTAATCAAATTCTCCCAAAACTGATTAATAAGAGTTTGATGTGAAGAGGTTCAGGGCGACACTTCAAACACTTTGGTATTTGTGCAGATTTGTAAAAGAATCCAGTGTGGTTTTAAACTAAAGTGAAAGCATCTTTTATCTGACACATGATCAAGACCAAACAAAAGTATTCCCTTTACCACAGCGGCTTTGATCATCACAACTACTTCCTGTTTAGACAATCCTGAACAATTCAACACAACATTTGTACGAGCTCTCTGACTCAACCGAGAACTGATTTGAGAATGTTATTGTCTGGTTTAAAAGGCTTTGATTGGTCTAGTCACATAATTGTTTTCAGCATTCTCTCGGGGTGTGATGCTAACTGTAGGTATGCTCTGTCTGAGGCTTTGTTAGACTTTTAAAGCTTTGGTTCAATGCAATAAAACCAGAAAGCTGGAACTTCAACAGGTGAGATTTTTGTATCACTGTTAAACAAGTCTCTCTCAAAACAGTCACAGTATCAATTGGTTACCCTGACCTTTTGTGTTTAAAATCATACTCCTAAAAAGGGCCATGAACACTTGCATTGATCACAGGCTTTTGAAAATGTGTTGTTTAAAGGGACAGTCTGGAATTTTGGACATAGGACCTTATTTCTTAGTGAGTGTGGAGACACTTTTTTAAATATTCCATGCAGTCCTTGTAGTTTGCAGAGGTCGCTGGTGCTAGGCTAGTGCATGTCAATGGCCATAGTTAGCCTGCCACTAAAAACAGTCTTACCCACTCCACAAAACACCCGAAGCAATTCAATTATAACTCCAGACTGTTGATGTGAATGTCTGTGTCGTTAAAATTATTTTAGAAGTAAAACCAACCTTGCATTTGAAGGATTTATGTCTAAGCAGCAGCTGCGAGTTAGACTTCCTGATAGAAAGTTTGTCAGCGGCGGACTGATATATGAGAAAATAGTCCTTCAACATGCGACGATTTATGCGATGCAAGATTAGTTTTATTTCAAACATTATTCTATGGACACAGACATTTACATCTACAGTCTGATGTAATAATAGATTTGCTTTGGGTGCTTTTAGTGGCAGGCTAACTATGGCCATTGACATGCACTAGCCTAGCACCAGTGACCTCTGCAAATACAAAGACTGGATGGAATATTTTAAAAAGTGTCTCCATACATCTCCAACACTCTGGATAACTAGGAAGTGAAGTCCTATGTCTAAAATTTTGGACTGTCCCTTTAAATCCATTTTTGTTTCAGTTTTGTTTTCAGGCAATTTTAAAACTTTTTTGGCTGTGTTTGCTAATGTATTTTTTATACAGTTTCACTTTGGCCCAGGTCACCATTGAAAAAGAGACTTCAATGTCAATGTTTTTTTTTTTTCTTCAACTGGTTAAAAAAATGCATGTAATCAAATTGAACTGTGAATATGTTATGAGTTGGATAACACAATTAAACATAAAATCTAATAAAATGAAAACTGTATTAAACAAAATTAAAGTTTTGCTGCATGAAATTGTAAAATAATTATACTGTCATCAATTCAATTTAACTGTGGGGGTCCTGGGTGGGTTGCACTGTGATCCTGGAAGGTTCCCAGGTTGAAAAACGTGGCAATCCTTGTGTTAGTATAGCCTTTACTGATCCCTATAATTAAATTTGCCCTTTGCATTTGACCCATTCTTCACTACCACTGTGGCAATCTGTCAGGAGCTGTGGCTGACCCAAGTGTATAGCACCCAAGGGACTCCCCGCTCTTAAGCTAGGCTTGGCCAGGACTACCTTAGCTGGAGGATTTTGCTTATTGTGCATGTTTTTGGCCAAGTCTCGGACCTCATCCATATTTACCATTCTCCTGACTAGATCGATTATCCTGATTAAATTGTATAGCTTTTAAAGAAATGTTGTGATTAAATTTGGTTGAATCCATCATGCTACCAAGCCTAACTCTTTGGAAACTACCCTGTATATAAAATGCGCCATAAAAACAAAGTGAATTGGAAAACACAAAACATTTTCCAGTGGACCCCTCTTCTCTCCTCTCCCCTTCACTGGTGGTCTGGTATGTGCTTAATAAAAGTTTGGGGCCAATAGTGTAGTGATCCTTTAATATAAACAGAATGAAACCTAAATTAAATCTCAGTGGGAGGCGGCTCTGACCTGTAGCGCCTCCAGAAAACGGAAGGATCCCAGACGACGGCCGCGAGGGACCAGGCAGAAGGTGGAGTTATGGAGCATCTCTTTGTAGTCAAATCTGAAAAAGACAAGCAGGAAGAATACGTGGTAAGTTGTAAGTTTAAGACAATGAAAATCTAGAGTTTAAGAAGTCAAAGATGCACTGTGTAACTTTTCTCATTGAGGGTCCACTACCTGCTTGTTTCCTTGGAGATGTTACTGCTTTGCTTGGATTATTTCACAGTATGGAAATAGAGCTGGTGTTTTTGAGTTATAAAACACATGCAACTGAATAAATACAAGTCATATATCTTTAATGTCATACTGGAGACAAGCAAGTAGCGGACCGTCCACCATAGAAGTTACACAGTGCTCCTTTAAATTATGACAACAAAGTGAATTAAAGGACAGTATACAAAAAATATGTGTTACTGATTGTAGAACTGAAGTATTGGTTCATTTGAAATTTCATTTTAACCAAATAAAAACTGAAATATGATGACAAAAAAACTGAAATTGTTTATAGCGAACTAGTCTCACAAAGGCCTGTATACACAAGAATGCATGTGGGTAAAAATAACAAAATATTTTATAGGAAGTGCCTTTTGTTTAGACGGTGATGGCGTTTTTGGGGCTTAAAAATGCAAAAAACTGAAACCACCCTCCAAAGTGGAAAAATTGAATACGCTCTGCTGTAGCGTTTTCGTCTACACTGCCCAAGACGCAAAACTGCTCACATCACGTACGCGTTTATGTCACATATAGCACCACCTAGTCGCCTGGCATGCATACCCAATCAAATTCTACACACTTTTGCATCACCGTATGCACGCAGATTTCCTCCTGAAAACACTTGTCTAAATGCGGAATAAAAAGCGAAAACGCGACACCACTTTTGCGTCTTCTGTTCAAACCGTCATCATATAAACGTAACCTTACATCACTAAACCATGGTCAAGTACAGTTATTTAAGTCAGATGCCCTTCCTGACTGTGAATATAGGTGGCATTGGATTTCAATGATTGACAGTATGTACTCAGACCGGATTTGAACTGGCAAGTCTGGGTCCAAGTAACCTGATTCATCGGCCATCACTTCGTTTCACTTCGTAGAAACCGTCTGACCTTGCAGTGTTAGAATTCATTCGCTCGACTGTAGGTGGGTACTTTTGATCATTTAACCAATCGCTGCTATTTGGTCGTGGCGTATGTAATGCGCTAACTGGTATATTAAGCTTTCCCCAAATCCCATAGGAAGAAGGGCAATAACGTCTTCCCCCTTGATAAAAATTCTCTTTATTCCGGCTTTAAATCCTCAATCTTGGGAATTGTTGACAACACAGAATATATCACTCTTCGCTGATTGGCTGGTGCCCAAACTTGCACTTCTGGGGTTTTTGCGAGCCATCTATTGTATTCTGATTCCTGACCTAGTTGCTGGAGAGAAATGAAATTGAGCGGAGGCACTAGGTGGCGCCAGCCTGGCAAATGCTTACGCCATTTTGTGATCTATGTTATAATGTTGTTTCCTCATCACAAACAGACCTGGAGTTGTGTTTTGTTTCATTCACACATATTTAACACATAAATCCTGCATAGTTAGTTGAGTATCTTGAGTTTTAGAGATGTAGACAGACTAATAACGCAGGATTACTCAAATATGTGTGAATGAAACTAAACACAACTCCAGGTGTGTTTTTGATGAGGTAACAACATTCTAACACGGCTTAAAGCTCACAAGAGTCCATTTTACGTAATATAGGACCTTTAAACCACTACACCACCGGCAAGTACAGTTATGTAAGCCAGATGCCTGTTCTTATTGTGAATAGTTGGCAAAGGAAATCAAGCAATCATCAGAACTCAGACCAACCCTATTGTTCCAAGACACCCTGCTAACTAAACTACTGCAACATCTAAACAAAGTCATTTAGTCAAAGTGAAAACAAGAAAGTTCAATGCTTCTGTAACACAATATAAACAACTGTAGCATAGGTCATATTACTTATAAGCTTGCACATCTTTTATTTATAAGTACTCGTCTACGTTTCAGTATTCAGAGCGCATTTTAAAACAATTGTACAGATTAAAAACTAATTATTTGCGGCTTGTTAGGACCCCTGCTGTTGTATGTGCAGCTGTAATTTCCCCAAATCAAAAAAAGGGCTTTGATCATTGCAAATATGCAGATCACTAAACAAACTGATGCAATCGCCACAGCGTTTAGGTAATTACGCCCTGATTCTGGAGTGAAAAGGAAAAAGAAGACGGAATAGAACAAATATTTGGGAGAAGTTGCACTGTTGAACTACGTACATTACGCTGTGTTCATCAAATTCACAGGTCAAAACGGCAACAGAAAATGCAAAGTATGGACCTTTTTCTCTCAGTGATGTTTAAGTGTAATACCATGGCAAATAAAAATATCTTTTTCAAATGTTTGTGTTTTGTGAGAATAAATCACATACTGATACTTTGCAGTGACATGACGGTGGGGGTGTTCTACATGTACAGTATGTGTATGGTGGAATATTCAGCTGTTACCATGGCGACACAATGCACACATAAGCGACCACTGTTAAAAAAATTAAGTCTGAAAACTCATATCGATAAAGAAATGCAAAATTAATTTAAAGGTGAGCGTGACTAACTGAAAAAGCTTTCTAAAAAAAACAAAACAAAAAAACAGTTGGCTCATGTTTTTAATTAACCAACTGTTCTGACAGAAAAAAAACAGTTGTCTAATAATAGCTTGTGTCTGTAATGTTATTTAAGAGACTTATTTAACCGCACAAAAAAGCTCATCTATTGCAGTTCCAATTAAGTCAGCTCTTTCTGGTCAGACTGTGTTAAAATAAAACTCTTAAAGCCTAATTTAAGTTGTAGAGCTTCAGACAGAGCAGTGCTTACTGTTAGCATCACACGTCCACGGAATATTGACGGCTGCAAAGTATCAATACGCTGAAACCGAAACTTATAAATAACTGAAATAACTGATACTACCGGTTATGTAACATTCTCACAAACTAAACTTTTGATTTACAATAAGCCAAAATTCAATCTTCCATTTGAAGAGTTCCCCTTTCAAAACTGTAATCCTCCTCAGTATTTATTTAACCAGAGCCAACAGATACACAGCACATGTTCTGTCCTCTATCTCTCAGTGCAGGTGTACGGGTGAAGGGGGGGGGGGCGGCAGCGCTCTCCCAAATGTAGCCTCCTCATGGGACAGTGAGCTGGGACGGACCAATGAGGCGTGGGTGACACCTGCCTCCTCCACAGCGGTCAGAGCAAAACCAAACAGACACAACACAAGAAAACAGGTTCAGGTTTAAAGGGCGTGGGTTCAAATTATTTACACATCATTTTGGTAGGAGAATAAATGGGATGTTTAAAGCCACACTGCGTAACTTTTCTGGCGGAGGGTCAGTTTTCTACTCGTCTCCATCTAGATGTTATTGCTTTGGAATGTTCCACAATGTGACATAAACATATACATCTAGCATTTATTAATTACGAATGTTTCTATTGCTCAAAAATAAAATAATCGCTTCTGTGAATAGGGATAACTCTCCACAGATCTGACCTGTAATGTGGCATAGTGCTGTAACCTGCTTGTCTCCCTTGTGATAGATACTAATCTATACCAGGGGTCACCAAACTTTTTTCTCTGGGGGCCACATTATCGCTCCTGACTGTAATGAGGGTCTGGTTCAGGTCGGCCGTATAAAAGAATTGAACGATCCTGGCGACGCAGATTATATTCTTTGAAAACCATCACACTTTCTTTATATATCAGACAAACTACATGGTCCTTACACTGAACAAAAGAATAATCGGTCGTCCACTGTTCTTTGAAAACTCAGTACTCTCCGTCAACTTTTTGTACTTTAACACTTGTCATTTTGCTGTCCTTAACTGCACTACAGAACTCTATGTCAAAATGTAAGTACGTCATATCATTATTTAAATAGAAATATAAATACTTCATATAAATAAAATGTTTTAATTGAAAAAAAATCAACTAAATACAAGCTGCAGACGTGTTATTATTTGCCAAAAAGTAATAAAAAAACCAAATACAATACAAATAAAAGTCAAGATTACTCTGAGGTAATCTTAAAGGTCCATTGCTTTTCTGGTAGAGGGTCCGCCACCTGCTTGACTCCGTGTAGATGTTATTATGTTTTCCTGAAATGTTCTACAGTATGGCATTTAATTTAACTATCTCCATGGAGACAGGCAGCCACATCACCAGACCAAGTTACAGGTCAGCTCTGTAGAGAAGTAGGCCCCGCTCACAGTAAGAATGCACGTTTTTGTGGTATTTGTTTAATGCCATGCTGCGGAACATCAAGGCAAAACAATAAAATCACCATGGAGACGAGCAGATGGCAGATTCTCCACCAGAAAAGTAAAAAAAACAAACAAAAAAAAAAACAAGTTGAAATGTTGCCAGGAATGTTCTACAGTTTGGCTTTACTCTTATTTATCTCTACGGAGACAGCAGGCGACGCCATAGGGCCAAGTCACATGTAAGATCCGTGGAGAGGCGAGCCCACTTAGAGCAAGAACGCACGTTTTTCAGTCAATAAAAACCCACGTTATTGAGTAATGCCATATATATGGACATTCCAGACAAAGCAACAACATCTCCACGGAGACAAGCAGATGACGGACTCTCCAGCAGACCTTTAAGAATAGCGCCAGAATGAAATATGAGGTTTCTGGGGGCTGTGGGTTAACAGAGAGGAGGGAATCATTCATCATTTGGCCTCATCCATCCTGGTCCCTGATCTCTGGTGTCTGGTCCAGGAGGATCTGTCAAGGGAAAGGCTGTAGTCCCACTCCACATGCACCTCTGAGCTCTTATCGACCACGAGCTAGTGCTGAGGCAGCGCTCTGAGAAAGAACCACAACCAGGCAACTACACAAGTGCACGCAGGGACTCGAGACGATTCTATACAATATATATGAAGGCAAAACTGCAGCTCAACTTCTGTGTTTTGACAAGTGGACAAAGCAACCAGAGAGACGCCCGTGTGAGTCAGTTTTTATTGGTTATTTTTCCTTATACTTT